CGAGTTTGGCAAAGAACGGTTCCAGAAAGCAGGTAAATCAAAAACAAAAGGCAAAAAATTAAATAAACAAGTAAATACTAGGGTGAGAATGTGGCAATTGTTGCTTTTGAAAACACCATAGAGTTTAGGGAAGGTGGTGGGGGTAATCGGTTAGTCAGTGAGTCGACAGTGGCCTCTGGTGAATTTAAGCAAGAACAGCAGACGTGAATGCCGAAATTTGAGATCTGAAAAAGTGTACACAGCGACCTTTGGTGGATTCACAAAAACTGCAAAAAAAAAACTGCAAAAAAAAAACAAATGAGTAAGGTGAAGCTGCAGGCCCGGAGACCCAGCTGCAGGCTCAGACCTGCACGCTCAGACCTGCCAGACTTATCATTATCTCAGACAGTGCCACTTGCTGTTGGGTTGGGTGAAGCGCCAGCTGCACGCTCAGACCAGGACTTTCTAGCAGGTAGCAACATCAGACACGTAAGCATTCCTGAAATCCATATAATAATGTGACTTACATCTTACTTAAGAAGCTAAAGCCGTTTTTTAGGACATAGAGATTCTCTGCAGTATTTCATTTTCATGCACATTTTATGTCAAATCGTCATTAATGTAACATGCCTCAGCTATTGTGTTTTTGTACATATTTGTCTATTTTTATTTTACCTTAGATACGTAAAGATTTGTCACATGTACTTACATTGTTACATGTACTTACTGTAGAGATGAAAGTGAATTATGTATACTTACATGCAACTAAACCTAAACCAAACCTAACCCTAGCCCTATAAAATGTACACGTTGTTCATTAAAATTCATTAGTGTTTAAATATACAATGCATTGTACATTGTGACAGACACACCATAAAACAGAGCATAATTAATCGTTATTCAAATACTGTGCATAAAAGACTATATATATATATATATATATATATATATATATATATATATATATATATATATATATATATATATATATATATATATATATATATATATATATATATATATATATATATATATATATATATATATATATATATATATATATATATATATATATATATATATATATATATACATATATATATATATATACATATATATATATATATATATATATATATATATATATATATATATATACATATATATATACATATATATACAGTATATATAAAGACACAGACAGATGTCAGACTGTTAACTCACTTTTATCATCATTTGCATGAAAGTGCAATTATTTACAGAGTAATAAGTATTTTAATATAACGTTTTTAAAACTAGGATGATGGTTCAATATGAATAGAACAGATCCAAGAACTGTCCATCCCAGTCAAAACAGTCGAAGTTTAGCGGGTCTCATGCTGTCATTAGCCAAAATATCTTGACAAACCACACATAAAGGTCGTGGTTCATCAGCTGGTCCTGTCCACGTAAATCCTAAACTCAAATACTGATCATCATATTGTCGTCTTTTGGGTTTAAGCCCTGAACTTGAAGGCTTTGATTCGGGGGGTCTCAGAAACCGATCCATTGTATTAGCAGGCATATACCAGTATTGGCGGGCTTGCCAAACAGAAGCAAATTCACAGCTATGGCCTTCTGGGTAAAAAAGGTTTTCTTATTTTTGACGTATAATTTTTTTAGCTTTGTTTAATTAAAACGTTTAAATATAATAAAAAATACATATAATAATTAAACTTAATAATTATATTTGTATTATATAATATTTTTTCCCGCACCTCCCCTGACATGCTCTGGCGCCCCCTGTAGTGGTTTTCTTGGTTTTTCTCTTACTAAATCAAACTCAGTCTGGAGGTTATGAATATCAGAAGAATATACTTTATTGTCGACAACAAAGGAGAACTTTCAGGAGACCCCCAGTAGTATCTCTGTCTGAAAAATTCTGACTCACTAATGAGCTGGCTTTACTTAAATACCCTTTTACATCCGTTGTTTTCCTTTATTCTCCATATATTACACAAGATCCCTCCTAGTTTAACCCTTGACTCCAAAATCCACCTCCAAATTCCACCTATGCAAGTCTACAAGCAGATTATATACATACAATTTTAATATATATATTAACTTCACACTTTAAAGAGTATAAAATCCACTTCACCCCCAGGGGAGGCGCGCCTCACACTTTGAAAACCCCTGGACTAGACAAAGTTATGTTCATTCACCCACAGTCTTGCTGCTTTCAGGAGCTCCAGATTGGTCTTTTTGTAAGCAGCACTGGTTGCTTTCGCTTTAACCATTATTTAAACAGGATTTAGGATAATAACTTCCCATGTATGTGTAGTTAACTGGTGTCAACTGTTTTTTAAAGAAATGTTTAGTTAAATAAACAGTATAGTATACAGCTATATTTTGCTTGTTTTGACACATTTTTGGCTAATAATTTATTTATTTTTTTAGTGTGGTTATAGAGATATATTTGGTAAATCATTTGAGCTCTGAAAAGTCATGTGAAATAAAAACTAATCGTAATACAACACTATGAAACCATGACCCATGTGCTCATGCTCACTGAGCAAGCTCTTACACAACATACACAAAAAGTCAAATAAATGAGGAGGCATGTGGACATTCCACAAAATCTAAATCAAGTCATTTTAGCATGTCAAAGTCATATTTATGCATATAAAATGTATTTTCCCAACAACAAAATTGTGGCTAGTAAAAATGACAAATGGCTAGTATTGTTATATCTCCATTAAATGGAAATTGGAAAAAAAAATAACCAGGAGGGCTAATAATTGACTTAAACTGTGTGTGTGTGTATATATATATATATATATATATATATATATATATATATATATATATATATATATATATATATATATATATATATATATATATATATATATATATATATATATATATATATATATATATATATATATATATATATATATATATATATATATATATATATATATATATATATATATATATATATATATATATATATATATATATATATATATATATATATATATATATATATATATATATATATATATATATATATATATATATATATATATATATATATATATATATATATATATATATATATATATATATATATATATATATATATATATATATATATATAATTTATAAAAATTACTAGCTTTCTATTATATATATTTCATATTATTATATTATTCAACCTCCAACCTCCTAAAACACCCAGAGTTTTAAACTTCAACAATGAAAATAACATTTTAAAATATTATTCATCTGTTATCTATTAATATATCTTAATTAGGCACCAGTGAAATAGGTTAAATATGTTATAGTTTTTAATGTGAGACTGGTTGCTGGTTTGAGCCTCGGCTGGGTCAGTTGGCATTTCTGTGTGGAGTTTGCATGTTCTCCCTGTGTTGGCATGGGTTTCCTCCAGGTGCTCCGGTTTCCCCCACAGTCCAATGACATGCGCCATAGGTGAATTGGGTAAGCTAAATTGTCTGTAGTGTATGTGTGTGAATGAGTGTTTATAGGTGTTTCCCAGTGATGGGTTGCAGCTGGAAGGGCATCTGCTGCGTAAAACATATGCTGGATAAGTTGGCGGTTCATTCCGCTGTGGCAACCCCTGATTAATAAAATTAATGAATGAATAATATGAGACTATTGTCTATGAGCGAGATAGATAGTGAGTGTGAGTGCGCATATATATATATATATATATATATATATATATATATATATATATATATATATATATATATATATATATA